CAGGATCATGGTCCCCTTAGCAATCGGATAGGAATGTGGCCGATCCAGTGACACTAAGTGGCAACGGGCTGACAAGTTCATTACTGGGCTGAGAAAACAGGAGGATGGCAAAAAAATAAAAACGCAACAGACACCTCCCACCTGAAATCACGGCAGAGTGCTTCCCAGCCATCAGATCACAAACGATCTGATGTTGGTGATTGCAACAACAATGAACGAAGTAACTGCCACATTTTCTGGAATAAAATAAACTTCTATCTACAGTGATCCTGACCCCCTCCATATACTCCGTGATTGAAGGAGGGCTCTGCCCAATGAGATAGTTGCACAACAGCACGTAAAGTACTGAAAATCTTCTATCCAGTGGGCCTATGGCCGACCCCACTCTCTTTTGGGGTTGGCCATACCCCCAACAGATTGAAAAGATTTCGGTGGGAAGGGAACCCAGTGTTAAGGAGAGGAGGAAGGGAACCAAGATCTCCTTACTTTTCGGGTAATACATGTGAAATACTGACCGTGGGATCACGCGTACTGCGCGGCAGGATTTGGGTCACTCAACTGCCACGCAAACTCTTTCTACCCTATCCCGTTGCTAGTGGGACCATGCTCCAGGGTCTTGTAGAGGCCAGTCAGTGTGTGCACAGTGATCACTTGGAGCTGTGAGCCGTGAGCATCCTCCTCCCAACCCATCCTGACGTCAATATTCCTAGCGCACCCCCTTTCCCCCCACTATCCTATCTCAGAGTGACCAGCAACACTCAGGACCATTACCCTACCATTGGGCACTGCCAGGTAACTTGGACCGAACAACAGTGATAGGCACCAGGGCTGATAGATTGCCCAGCCTGGTGGAAGTGGGAATCGGACGAACCTTATCGAACGAACTTTGAATGTGTGTGTGTGTGTGTGTGTGTGTGTGTGTGTGTGTGTTGTGTGTGATTAGCTGGCGGTGCGGGGGGGCGACCCGTCCCCACCAATCAATCAATCAATCAATAAAAAAAAATAAAAAATAAAAATCAATGTGTTTTGAGTCTGGCTAGGTTTTTGTTTTTTTTTAAGAATAATTTGAATGCTCAAAAAATAAAAATAAAAGTATGGGGATGTAGAGCGCAAAACAACCTACACCCCCATTTTTGTTTTTGTTTTTTGATGATTTTTTGCCTGCAAAAGCCAAATTTCGCGGGCCAGGCTGTACCGCATTCTTACGAGGTATAGCGCGGCATTGTAACGGGGGGTCAACGGCCATTGAACCTTTCAATGCGAAAACCCCGTTGAATCCAATTCAGACACACAGCCCTGCAGGGCACCCGGGCGTATATCCGGGCACAAGTTGCGTGCTCGGGCACCCGGAAAACAAGAGCGAGGGAAGGTAGTACCTGACGGGCGCAAAGGAAGCGGGGGCAAAATGGCCTAAGGGGCCTTTCATGATTTCTTTTGGAGGGAGGATTGCGATGCTCCGCTCACGTACAAGCCCATAGGGTGTGTTTTCGTTTTGCTTTTTTTCTGTTGTGTTTTGTGGCATCCAACGTGTGCAGGAGTCTTTCCACGGGTCACAACTTCTTTAGGTCTTGAGTCGGACCACTGCTGCGTGTGCTCGTGCGTCAGATCACCGCTGAGAATGTTTTTTACATTTTAGAGGACCTAGGCCACGATTCCTTCCCCCCCTCCTGAGAGGAGGAATGAATGAAACAGTCCGTGATTCCCGCGCACAAGCATGCAGAAGGAGACACATTGATTGCTTCAAAGAGGTGGAGGGGAACCACAAGCAACATGGAGGAGAAGAGGGAGGACTACCATCGATTGCTTCGGTGAGACTATAACGAACATGGAGGAGAACGGAGATAGAGGACTACTCCAGCGAGTGTGTGTGTGTGTGGGTGTGTGCGTGTGCGCAACATGGATGACAAGGGGGAAGACAACCATCGATTGCTTCGAGGTGACTATAACCAGGATGGAGGAGAAAGGGACAGAAGACTACTCCAGCAAGTGTGTGTGTGTGCGCGCACACGGGGGGGAGGGGGAAGAGAGAGAGAGAGAGAGAGAGAGAGAGAGAGAG